TGGCGACTTACAACTAACCAGCCGCCTAGAAGCAGCCTGTAAATGCAGCCGCCCCTACCATCCTGTCGCTGCTCTCTGAGCGTAGATACGTAGCAGGACCCCGTAAATAACGTTAGGGTGAGTAAATCATGAAGGAAACGATCGCAATGACCAGCCGGCGCACGCGGCATCCCCCGGGCCTGGCGGCGATGGCACTCAGGGTCTTCGGAGCCCGCGGTGTACGCTGCGGTTGCTGAGCCGCCCAACGAGCGCCCGGCCGGGGGCGGCGCGGGACAGAGGCGGGACAGGGCCGCACGGCACCGCTCCGCGCACCTGGCTTCGTCCCGTCCCCAAGCAGGCACCGAGGCCTTGCTCGCCCCGACGGGACTCTTCTGTGCGCTTCCCCTCCCCAGGCCAGCGCAGACCTTGATCCACCTGCTGAAATGCAACGTGGGCACCGGGCTCCTGGGGCTGCCCCTGGCCGTGAAGAACGCCGGCCTGCTGGTAAGACGCACCGGGCTGGGGCCAGGCTGCCACGCAGGGGCTGAGCAGGGCCTTTGCACCGCGCGCAGTGGGCAGTCAGGGGCGCCTGCTCCCTAGGAAGTGTGCTTATGCGGGCCAGGAGCCAGACTACACTAACATGGCGTGTCCTACACTAACACGGGGTCCCCTGGGTCACTAACGCGGGCGTCACTCTTTCACTTCCTGCTACCTCGCTACTCACACTCCCAGGGCGCTCCTGGGAGGTTTAACTATGCAGCCCCCACTTAAGGCATTTGCTGGCGTGGAACAGGGGCTTGGCCGTGAGTTCTAGGGACCTGGGGAGCCCACCCCTCCCCCACCTGGCGGGTGTCCCCTGGGCCGCACCCTGCCTGATCCTTGCTTCTGCCTTTTGAACTTTGCCTCCCCTCTCTCAACTATGTTTCCTGTGAGTATCTGTGTTGCCCTCACGGTATTCTCTTGACCAAAATTCCTGAAGCACCCACGAAGGCAAGAGGCACTTACTTGTGTAACACACCCTTCTTCCTAGCCTAACTGAAGGCCGAGAGGCCCAGAGCGGCCGGGTTTCCCTGCCCGCCGCACCTGGCACACGCGAAGCCCTTTTTGCCTGGTGGCTCCGAGCGTGCCCTCTCCTCAGGCCTAGTCAGGGGCTCTGGGGTCCAAGAAAGGCACGGCGAGACCCTTGCGTCCTCCGCCCTGCCTTGACCTGCACTATTCCAAGCCAGAGCTCCTGGAGTCCTCTGGGCTTGAAAAGGCCCGCTGTAGAGGTGTAGAGCCAGCCACCTCCAGCCAAACGTCCCTGCCCATGTGGTGTGGGCGTTTCAGATCTTAAATGTTCCTCCTAGGAGTTGTTGATTTCTTTACTTCCATCTCGCCCCAGAACCCTTGACCCCACTGGGCTGAGATACCGTGCATCTACCATGTGCACCCGTGGACCCTGGGAGTACAGGAATCAACAAGACAGGAAGCCTGAGCCCTTGGAGAAGCCATCCCCGGGAAGTCTAGTGGTGTGTGCTCCCGGCCCTTCACTTGTTCCTTTTGGCAGATAATGTCATCTCAGGGCAGTAGTGTCCAAAGTAGAGCCGGGGGTAGCATTCCTCTTTTACACTGATCTCATCCAGGACATTGTTTATAACTGGCCACACTTTTCTAGAGGAATATGAATCAGCTGGACACGCACGAGCAGGGAGCTCAACTGCAACCTCTTTGCACATCCCCCTCATTGTGATGACTAGGGAGGGTCATGACTGTCAGAGCTGGGAGGGGGTCCCTGACAACTGGTAAGGAAACCCAGGGACACTGCTCAGCTACCCACAATGCACAGCGCAGCTCCTTACGGCAGAATCTCACCAGGCCGACAGCCCCAATGCCAAGTAGACAGGAGAGAAAGGGAGCTCAGTCACCAAAGCAGCCTTGGTCTTCCAGTATCTGAGAGGAGGTGAAGCTAGTGACAAAGAAATACTGTACCTCCCAACTGACTGAACGTCAGATGCTCTGCGTCCATGTTCCCTAGATAGGGAAGAATGAATTCCAAGGGACAAAGGGGATGAAGAGTAGAAAAGGAGAAAGCTCCTCAGGGACACAAGGGGCCCAGTGGGGGCAGTTACACAGCCATGTCACGCAGTGGGGACAGTGTCACTCAGACTACATGTGGGGCTACAGGCACAGAACAGCCACTCAGCTAACACTGATCCAGCAGGGAAAGGAGTCACACAGAGGGACATAAGGATCAAAGGAATTCTTGGGAAGGGAGGACAAGGTGGTGCAGGCGTTCAGGTCCCCACCTATGCTCTGGGTGCCTGCCAGGCCCCTGGACCAGGTGGTGCCAATCACTGTAATGTGAATTGCTGTTTCTCTCCCGGGAGGCCTGCAGGCCGGCTCTCCCCAGATGCACTTGGGGCCCCAGTTCCTATATCCTAATTTTTTGTGCTGAAGTCCTGGACAGCCAGCCCCTCTCTGGCTGCACATCAATTTCTATCTAACTTAGCCATCTTTACACAAGGAATTTTTCAGGGATTAACATTGCCGTGCAGGACCCTAGCAGGCTAGAATGGAGGCAGATGAGAAAAGATACAGCTGAGGGAGTGGTGCGCACGGGCAATGGCAGAACCCTGCCAGAGGGGAGGTGGCCCCTGCAAGGGTCCCAGGATGGGCAGAACCACAAGTCCTGAGATGTTCCACAGGCCTCTTGTCCCAGCCAGCACCGGAGAGTGCACCCGGCCGCAGGCTCATGCCCACCTCTCCTCCGCAGGTTGGGCCGGTCAGCCTGCTGGCCATCGGGATCCTCACGGTACACTGCATGGTCATCCTGCTCAACTGTGCGCAGCACCTCACGCAGAGGTCAGAGCCGCCTCCCTCCCACCCAGAGCTGCTGCACCCAGGGAGGCTGAGTCCCCCTTGATCGCTTGCCTCTCCAGCCCCTAACACAGCTGCTGCACATCCCAAAGGTGGTGGTGGGGCTGGGAGAGTCACTGGGGTCCTGCACCCCCAAAGCTGGGTCCCTGAGAGAAGACGCAAAGCACCCCATGAACTGCCAGGTACACACAAGATGCTCAGGCCTGATTTCCTTCTAATCTCCCCATCCTTTGCCAGGGAAATTTGTTCCAGGCAAACCCTTTTAGGACCAGTTAGTAAAAGTGATAAATACAGTTAACAACGAAATGAATCATTTACAGTGTCCACAGAACACTCAAGGTTTAGTCATTTGAAACTTTAATACAAACAACCTGGGAAAGAAAAGACATGATGGAATACTGCTCAGTTGTGATAAAGAATGGGGTCCTGTCATTCACAGGATGTGGATGGGATTGGAGATCAGGATGCTGAGTGAAACACGCTAGCACAGCAAGGCAAACAGCACCGTTCTCACCCACCTACAGAAACCAGTGCACCAACCACGTAGAAGCACAGAGCAGGAAAGGGGCCCCTAGAGCTGGGGACAGCGGAGGAAGAAGGGATAGAAACAATTAAGAGGAACTCCTGGGCCCTGTGCTGGAGGGAAAGGGAGAGCCTGGGAGAAACAAGCCAGGAGTAGAGGCATGGGCAGGCACAGCGTGCAGCGAGCCCGCTGATCCGTAGGATTGGCAAGTGCTGATGACCCTAGTAATTCATCTCAAGGAAGACAACTGTGAAGAGGACAGATTGCTGATGAACCCCACGGCCTCAGCACGCCCAAGCCTGCAAGTCCAAGTAGGGTGTCCCAAGGGAAAAGCTTCCAGAGAGGGGGACATTAAGCTAAACTCCTTATAGGGCCAGGGAGACAGCTCAGCAGTCTGTGCTTCACAAGCGCAAGGACCCATGCTGGCCATCAAAACCAGGCGTGGTGGAGCACACCTATAATCCCAGCACTGGGGAGGCTGAGATGGGGGATCGCTCAGAGTCCAAGCTGCGTAGGGAGACCCTGTACCAAATGAATAAAATATTTTAAATTTTTTTTAAAAAAAGTTAAACTCCTTATAAAGTCAAATCTGTGCAGCCCATGCCGCGCACCTGGAGCCTCGGCCCGGCTGTCTGGGGAGCGCCCCACTGTGGGGAAGTGCTTCTGCGAGCTTTTTTGCTCATCCAGTAGCTCCACAAATGGTACAAGTTTACTACAGCAGAGCCTTTGTGAACCTCTGTGCTAGGCACTGGCTTTATTCCCACTTTACAGATGAGTGAACTGAGGCTTAAGTGCTAGCCAGGATCACACAGCCACGAAGAGGCAGAGCCAATGTCTGGAGGCCCACCTGGCTCCGCTGGCCGTTTTGTGACTCTCCCCTCCGTCCTGGACCCTGCCGCTTCCGACTCCTCGGCGCGCCCCACCGCCTTTCTCCGGGGCTTCACTTTCACGTCTAATGCAGTTTTCAGGCTGGTGCCCTAGGAGCTGACTACAGCCTCCCTGTAGATTTGGGGCGTTGTTTTTTTTTAAGGCAATGCTTGAAAACTTGGAGATTTCACCTTATTTTATTTTATTTTTGTTTTTGTTTTTGAAGACATTTTACCAGAATGTGTTTGCAGAACCTTGTGGCTGCATCCCTGAGGGAGCGGGTCATGCCCGTCACATGCAGGCTATGTCGGTGGCACCCTGCCTTCCCTTCTTTCTTTCCTTCCCCCCTACCCTGCCCCACTGTGCTGCTGATTCGTGCATCCCAGGCTGGTGCTCTGCTGCTGGGCTACTTCCCGGCCTACTAAAAAAAGAATTAAAAAAAAAATTTAGATAAGATCGCACCATGTTGCCCAGACTGGCTTCAAACTCGCTGTCCTCCTGCCTCAGCCTCCCAGCAGCTGACATCCCAGGACCCCACAGCGTCCATCCCTATTCTTACCCCTGTGACCACTTCACTAAGGCCATGGGAGTCGGACACCGGCTCTGCTTGCAACTCCGAGCAAAGCAGGCTGAAGGGACAGCTGTGTTTGAAGGGGATGCTTGAAGGGGCCACACTTCTGTCCTGAGGCTGACAGAGGAGGGTGCTCCAGCCAGAAGCTCCATCCTTGGAGACCCAGGGCAAGGTGCCACTACACAGAGGCAGACCGGTCGGAGGACAAGGCAGGAGGGGCTGCCTCGCGGCCTCGCTCAGCCTGGCACCTGCATCTCCCCTGCTTCCTCTTCCTGTGGAGGGGCCAGCTCTGTCCTGTGAGTCACTTCCTAGTGATATGGGAGGCGGCTGCGAGGCCTCTGCAGAGGGCGGGCAACTGAAAGACTGCAGAAAGGACCAGCAGAAAGGCTGGGAGGAGTAGGTGGTGGATTCTCTGGCCGCTCCTGGAGGGAGCACGCTGCGACCCTGACTGCTGAACTGCTGCGCTGGGCACAGCCCTTCCCGGCCCCAGCCTCGCTGCCGTGATCCAGTCACGCTCCCAGTGCCAACCACAGCAAGCACAAGAAACCAGGGCCACACCTGTCCCTTCCTCCCCCACCCCAACGTCCTCCTCTCCCAGCCCCAGACTGCCCAGGAGAAGAGTGAGGCCCGGAGCTAGCCAGCCCCAGGTCTGCAGTTGTCGGCAGCGATGGGGGTTCAGCTCCTGCTTTCCTAGTACACCTGGGGCTTTTCTGAGTCCGGGCATCCTGGACCTTAGCCGCCCACAGCTGTCCCAAGAGCATGTCCAGAACGGAGATGGTGCTACATCCAGGCCTGTGGCAGCCTGGGCAGAGCGAGAGGCTGGGCCTTGGGCCTGGCATCCCAGGAGGGTGCAGCATCTCCACCCATCGTGCGCCCTGGGCAGCAGGAAACAGGAGCACAAATCCGGAGGATGAGGCAGGCCCAGCGCCCCGCCTCCCCATGCCCTGCTCCTACCGCGCTCCCTGCCCTTGTTCTAATCTAAATCACTGCAACCCACTGTTCACTCAAAACAAGTCCAAGGATTCCATTTAAGTACTGTATTTGTGCTTTAAAAGAGCCCTGCCAGAAAAAAAAAAAAAAAAAAAAAAAAGAAAAAGAAAAAGAAAGGAAAGAATAAAAGGCAAACTCCAGAAAGCCATGTACACTCCCTTAAGAGGAGACCCGCAGCGCTCCCCGTGCTAACACCTCGCGTGCACGAGTCACTCAGGAGTGCGTGGCGCTGCCACCAAATGCCTCCATCACACGGTCCGTGTGCTTTCCTCTAGGCTGCAGAAGACCTTCGTGAACTACGGGGAGACCACCATGTACAGCCTGGAGTGCTGCGCGAGCCCCTGGCTGAGGACGCACTCGGCGTGGGGCAGGTAGAGCAGGGGTGGGCGCCGGGCACCTCGCCCAACTTGGAGCACGCAGACTTTCCGTGTTCCCATTCTAGCCCTCACAGTCACCTCAGTAACCGGCGGACACCAGGGTACACAGCTCAGCCCTCAGAACACAGTAAGAGCCCACAGGTCGCTCCACAGACCCCAGCGGCCTCGCCCTCAGGCCTCACACTCGGTTTACCAAGTGGGATTTCTTTAACTCAGCCCCATAAATCTGTCTTCCACTCTCGCCAACATCTCCTAAAGTGGTTTTGTGTATTCTAAGTGGGAAACTTGAGGTCTTCTTCTACCCTTTGGGAAATCTCAGGCGCCATCTAGTGATCTTGCCTTGCTTGATAAAAAATTAATGAAAAAAGTTGATGACATACAAAATATTTTTCTGCCTCAGCATCTCTGATCATCTCAACAAGCTTGCGAGGTAGACAGGTCAGGATTTTTCTTGTTGCTATTATTTTGTTGTTGAGAGAGGGCCTCACTAATATGACCCAGGCTGGCCTTGAAATCACAGTGATCCTCCTGTCTCAGCCTCCAGGAGGTCCTGACACTACAGGTGAGCACCACACTTAGCCGACTGGGATTTTGTTGTCCTGGACATGAGGTGACCGAGGTACATAAAGATGGCATAGCTTAGGCCAGGACATTGGTAGGGGAAGCAGACATCCGCCAAGCCCCTCCCACTGCGCCCTCCCAGGAGAGCCCTCTGGGGGGCAGGAGTCCGCTACCCCTGCCTCGATGCCTCTGCCTTCCTCTCCTAGATTCTCAGAGTTTCTCCTTTCAATTGGGAGTCACTCTAATTATCAGGCAGGTGAGGCAATGGTCAATTTCTGATGACAATGATGTACAGTGGATTTTTTTTTTTTTTTCCAGAACTGGGGATTGAACTAAGGCCCTTGCGCTTATTCCACTGAGCCATCTCCCTGGCCCCTTCTTATGACATTGAATAAATATTTAGGGCAGGAATGGTCTTAAGAGTTTACGTTATTCATGCTTGTTGGGATTGAAACACCGTAAGGAATCCCAGAGAGGACAATAAAGATGCTCAGGATTGCACAGGAGTTGAGTGGTAGACCAAGGAGGACAGCCCAAGACGTGGTGCTCCCACACCTCTAGCTTACACTGTGACATTTATTTGGATATATGAGATTTAAAAGGAGTTGGAAAAAATTAAAATAAAATAAAAGGAACTGGAGGGGTTGAGGAAATAGCTCAGCGGTCTATGTGCTTGCCTGGTGAGCCCAAGGACCTGGGTTCAATCCCCAGTAGCGCATGCTATATTGGCCCCGGAACTGGGGCGTGCTGAGCCAGCCCCCGAAACCGGCATGGTGGGACATGCCTATAATCCCAGTGCTGGGGAGGCTGAGACAGAAAGGTCACTATGAGTCCGAACTGCATAGCAAGACCCTGTACCAAATAAATAAATAAATAAATAACTTTTTTAAAACTAAAAGGAGTTAGGAACACTTGGGGAAGTAATTTTAGTCCAGCCAGATATTCGTAATTGTAGCGTATCTCATACGCTTGTGGAACTTGATTAGCAACTGTCCATCCTAGGTAGGCAGTGTTTCATGCATGCGCAAGCCCTGAGGTGAAAAGTCAGTGGGAACAGAAAGGAAGACCCTGCTGCCCTCCGTCCCGTGTCCCACGCTTAGCCTGAATCTTAGCTTAGCTGCATCTAGATAGGAGACAGCCAGGGACACTGTGCCTTGCTGCGGATTATACCAAAGGTATGGAATGTATGACACTTCTGAAATATTTCTAATAAATAAATAAATGAAGAAATGTCATCAAATCAAGTCACTGGCTGCAATACCAGTTTACAAAAGTACAGGGGACAGAAGAACAAGGTGGATGGATGATGGCACAAGGAAGTCATCAGCCAAAGCCAGGAAACAGGACACGCTGCAGGACGGATATCTGAGGTCTTCGGCAATAACCAAAAGATAAAAGGCTGCAAGGAAAAAAAAAAAAAAAAGCAGAACAAGAAGAATACAGCAACTCAAAATTTTTAAGGGTTTTAATACAATTAAAACTATGTGTAAGTCTAGGGATGCTGCTCCATATGCAGAAGGCACTGAGTTCCATCCCCAGAACCACAGGAAGCAATCAAAAAAAGAAAAAGAAAAGACTAGTCACTGTTTAAATAAAACATAAGAAGTACTCTTAAAAATAACTTCAATGTTTGTTGTCTCTCTCTGCCTTTTTCCTTTTTCAGGTACGCTGTCAGCTTCTTGTTAATCGTTACCCAGCTGGGCTTCTGCAGTGTTTACTTTATGTTTATGGCAGACAATTTACAGCAGGTAAAGAAGCCCCTTCTTAGCAGAGTAGGTGAGGAGAAGAGCAGACTTCCCCTGCTAGACTTACACTAACAAAAGCGCCGCGCCTGGTCACGGCAGGCCGGCTTCCCTTCCGCTCCGACTCCACCAGTCGGGCTCCTTCCCGGCAGTCTCGAGACTCACATTCTCACGGGATGAGACGGAAGCCAAGTCAGCTTCATTTCTAGCCAGAAGAGCACGTGGGCTCTCGCACAATGTCACACAGAGGATGCTGGACTATACTAGCTGCAGGCTTCCTCTTGCATCCCTAATACACCCCCAAATCGAGGATACAGCTCCTTTTCGGCTCTGTGGGCTAGAGGAGGACACTTGTTTTTGCATGTCCACACGGATGAAAGCTCTCTGTCCAGTTCTAGAGCTGGGTAACTCCGGCAGACAGGTGTGTGCATGTGTGAAGAGCTCCCTCTCTCTGCCTTTATGAGAGAAAACAACCACTGGGTAGGAAAGAAGAGACTGGCCTGGGTGGCAAAGGACCTTTCAGCCTTGAGACTTTATGACTCTGAGTGTTCCTGGCTATTACACTCACGACACCAGTTACAGGGAAATAAAAACACACGGCACCCAGTTAAAATGGAATTTCAGATGAACAGCGCTACTTTTTTCACTTTCAGTATGCCCTATGCAGTACCTGAACATGTTTGCACTAAAAGGTTGTCTGCAGACGAACCAAAATTCTGCTGCCCAGGCCTGCCTGCCGGCCACCAACTCTGCCCTTCCCTGTGCCCTCTCAGATAGTGGAAGAAGCCCACGTCCTCTCTAACACCTGCCAGCCCAGGAGGGCCCTGGAGCTGACCCCTCTCCTGGGCATCCACTCCTACATGCTGACAATCCTGCCCTTCCTGATCATGCTGGTGTTCATCCGGAACCTCAAGCTGCTGTCCATCTTCTCAGTGTTGGCCAACGTCACCACACTCGGGAGCACGGCTCTGATCTTCGAGTACATCGTGCAGGTCTGTGTCTGAGGCCATGGAAGAAGGGGGTCAGGTTCTGAGAGCGCTGTGCTCACAATGGGCAGGTGAAGTGAGGAAGGCAGCCCCCGGCTCTGAGCTGGCCCTGCCACGGTGAGCTCTGGTACACCTCTGCCCCTGAGCTGTCAAAGCTAATCGCTGTTCCTCCTCCTCCTCCTCCTGCTCCTCCTCCTCCTGCACCTCCTCCTGCTCAGCGTAGTGTTGGCCAACAGTGCGTCACTCCACAGCTCATAGTTTCTGCATACCTTCTGTATCCTGGTTGCTGTGCAAGGATGACTGGGGATTCAGTGGCGTGAAAACAGATAGCTGAGGTGTCCCCTGTCACCGATGTTGCATTCACGTGGGGAGATTAGCTCTGACTAAATGACCACCCAAAACCATAACAGCAGTAGTTGGACAAGGGTCGCCTAGGTGGTAAAGGAACCGAATCTGCTTGCTGCCGAGCACTCCACTCTATTGCACTGGACCCCCAGCTTCCATACGAGGAACCAGGAAGCCGAAGTGGTTTTCCACCAACTCAGTTTGCCTCACAGGCCTGCGCTCTCCTGTCCTCACAGGACCTGAAATGCTACTTTTACAGTTTCATTTCTTCGGGCCTGAGAGTTTTTGCAGTGTATTAGTTTCCTGTTGCCACTGTGACAGATACAGCAGTGCCTCGGTTCACAAACGCCAACCTTGCTTGAGGGAACTCGTGGCGTGGAGGGCAGGAAGGTGGGTGAGAAGGGGTCACTGTTTGCAGGGGGAGTCCCCTTCCATAAGGACACAAGGACACAGGAAGACCTTTTTCAGGGGTTTCCTCTCTTCTTTGTCCCTTGGCTGCACAGTCAGTTTTGACCAAAAACAATTCTGATAGCGCCTGTTTTCCTGCTGCACAGAGGCCTCGCTGTCATTCCTCAGACTCAGCGCTCTGTGGTGACGGTTTCGTGTGGGTGGTGCTTCCCCAAGAAATCCCCGCACTCCTTCCACTTCTCACAGTGGATTTCACCACCCCCTGCGAGCCCCCCTCCAGCACCCCTCCCCCGACTTCCTCTTCTGCTCCTTGACCAGGGCCTTTGCTGCTCGCTGGGGTTCTTTGGTCAGTAGCCCACCCACAGTCTGCGGCCAGCTCCTGCATGTCTGCGCAACCAACACAATGTCCCCCACCCCCTGAGCACCACAGGCTTCAAAGTCTGAAAGCGGAGCTGCCTTGAAGTCCCCTCTGCCAGATAAACACAGTCTCAGGACGGACAAATGTGGATGAGTGTGGGCCACGCACAAGCGTGGCCTTAGTCAGTGCCGGGAAGAGTCCCGGTGCCCACTGAAAGCTCCTGAGCAGAGGCTTTCCTATCCGCAGTCCGTAGTGCTGACACAGGTGCCACCTCACTGTCCCTCCTGCTCGGTGGCCATGGCACTCATTCCCAAACCTCTTTCTCCCTGAAGGTGTCCTACTCGTCACCTCTGATTCCTGTGCTCACCTGGACCAGTTCCTGTGCCCGAGCGAGCGAGCACAGAGCTGCTCTCGTCATTCCCTGGCGCTTCAAGAGTCTTATGTTAATTAAGTCAGCAGGCTCAGCGCTCGGGCGCCGGGGGCCAGTTTCATGGAAGCCAAGCTTTCCACAGACAGGCGGGATGATGTCTTGGGATGATTCAAGCGTGTCTCACTTATTGTGCGCTTTATTTCCAGGACCATTACATCCACGATGCACAACCAGAGCGCTCAGCTCGTGTCCCTGCATCTAGCCCTTCCCACCTGGGGCAGGGCAGTGACACCCAGTGTGTTACTTAGGTCCAGCTACTCTGTAGTCTCATTTTGGCTGCTGTCACCACAGAAAATCCTGCTTCACAAAGATCAGATGCTGGAACTGGAAGCAGGCCTTTCAGCGCGTTTGTGGCACTGCCGGGACACGCCTCCTTGACTTTAATCTAGAATGCAGGGAGACTGAAAGTTGCCCCAAATGTACGTTAAGGTCGTATGTTTATGACCTCAAGCAGTTGCTCCTGCAGCGTAGACAAACTGATTTCTCCTGGCTTATTTACAAGTGGGCCACAGGCCCCCTCCTTCCCAGTTTGGGGGTCTTATGCAGTTGGAAAATAACATTCTAAGTCTTCTGAAAGCTGAGCCAGGTGATCGTGCAGCACCTTGGAGAAAGAAGGCCCTGGTTCATCTCTTTGGAAATGTCTGCTAATGTATAAAACTCACCAAAAATCCCACTGTTCACTCACCACCCTCATAATCCAAGCTTGGCTTGGAATATGTCCACTTGTCTGCCAGCTTGAACACAGTCCTCATTCTCCCCTAAAGTGACAGGCCGAGTCTGCTGAGCACCTTGCCCATTCGTAAGCAAGCTTTATGGCCTATTCTGTGTCACTGAAGTGTGCTCCCTGTTGGGAGTGTTTTTCTAAAAGAAATGTCTAGAGTGGCTCTCAGAACTCAAAGCTCTGGCCAGAAATCTACAATTGAAAAGTCATCTTGCTTCTGTGTAGGTGAGGACATGCGTGGTCTGCATCCATCTCCCTGCAGAGCTGCATGAACAGATGCGAGCTAAGGGGAGGTACTTCATGCAGTTGGTAATCATGTCCTGCAAAACACTGTTGAGTTCTGGTGACAGTTTTCGCTAGCCAGCACCTCCCCCTGGGTGACCCAGAACATAAACTCCCATTCAGAATCTGCCACTTTGACCCTACTAGTGAAACCAGAAAGCCACGCACTCACTGGCAATCACTCTGTCTGCGTGTTCCCTGACAAAGAATGAGTGGTTCAGTTCTACTGCTGTGTCACCATCCAAGTACTTGAATAATCCTACAGCTGTGGTTATTGTTTGGCAACAGAACTGCACATACCATATCCTCTTGCACACCGTCCTGAAACATGGATAGACTGCCTGCTGTCAACATGGATAGACTCATCAACCTCAGTGACTCCTTGATCCTCTCAAGCCATGAGGCCTCAGTAGCCATGGCTGTTTCATCAGTTTATCTAGTTTTGCTGCCAGCCAAGACAGGAACACATGCCCCATGCCTCCTTCCGACTGCAGCCTTTCCTAAATATTCATGACAGATGTTCTCAGGAGAATGCAGGATCAACTCTTCACCAGGAGTGAAAGGCTGCTTAGCTTTAGCAATGCGGTTAAACACTAAGAATTCTGCTCTCAGTGTCAAACAATTTGACGAAGCAACGGCCTTCAACAATTGCGTCTTTTTCTTGTTCACGTTTTGATCTTTTTAAAACCTCCAAAGCCTTGTCTTTCAGTACAGGGTGCTTGGTCTCCGTGTGAAAAAGCAGTTTAGAAGGTTTCGTGACTTCACTGGGTAGCATCATCACACCTTACAAAGCGGGCTTGGAGCGCGTGAGTCACCTGTTGCAACGAACCCACAATCTAAGCAGGTCTCTTGGTATTTTATTGAAATGCCACTTTCCTTTTGCTGCCAGTCCTGGAGTCCTCTGCTCTCATCACTGGGTCTCTCCACCCACCCACTCGAAGAGGCTCTCCAGTGACGTGTGTGTTTTCACTCACTTTGGCTAAGGTTACTCGTGGACTTAGCAAAGCCGTGGCTGAGATGAGTGCACAGTGCAAGAAAGAGATGGGGGCAAATGTGGTAGACAAGATAACGGGTAAGCTGTGCACTGACCGACACAAGTGATGGATTCTGATTTAAAGCCTGCCACCAGATACAGCTTGTCACTTCCTGCTCACCGATAACATTTTGAGAGGAAGCTGCAAGCACTTGATTTATCATGGTCTCTGCCGTCCAACCTGTCTGTCAATGTTCTTCTGCATTTACGGCCACTCTCCAGCACTAGCGTCACTGCCTCAGCTCCACCTCCCATCACCAGGCTTTGGATTCTCATGAGAAGCACAAAGCCTAGATCCCTCACATGTGCAGCTCACAGTAGCGTTTGTGCTCCTGAGAATCTAATGCCACTGCTGATCTGAAACCAAGTGGATCTCAGGCAATAACGGAACAGTAAGTGGCTATCAAGACAGATGAAATTTATATTCCTTCACCTGCTTCTGTGTAGCTTAGTTCTTAACAGGCTATAGTACAGATCCACATTCCAGGGCTTGAGGCTTCTTGGTTTAAAGGTTAAGAAGGCTGGCCAGGCTCTAGGTGCCCCATGGGTACTCCTGTGCTTGTGAGGTCAGGTCTAACCCAGCTCCCCTCAGCAAAGGTTTGGAGTGCCTTCTACAGCATGGCAAAGCCCACGCCCTTCTCTTGCTTTTTTTCAGGGAATTCCATATCCCAGCAACCTACCCCTGATGGCAAACTGGAAAACCTTCTTGCTATTCTTTGGTACGACCATCTTCACATTTGAAGGTGTTGGTATGGTAAGAGTCGTGAGTTCGAATGTGAATGGTTCCTACTGCTCTTTCAGGTGGCCAGTTTTTAATTCCAGGTGTCTAAATTAATAGCATTTATGAAAAGTGAAGAATATGGTTATCCCCAGTGAAGGAAAAGTTAGCATGTGTGTACAGAGTAGCTACAGCTCCATGTACCACATTAAGCCCTGAAGGCCGAATGAGAAGTCGCTAAGCAGTCAAGGCAGGGCGTCCCTGACAGTAGACAGCGTGAGAGAAAATGAAAGCAGTGTGGCACGGAGGCCCCCTCCTGACCCTGGGCAACCCAGAGAGGGACGCCTGTGCTTGCGCTCGTGCGGGCAGCTGCATCTTCATGAGGTTCCACGTCTTTCCACTTTTTCTTTCCCACACTCTTTCTACCTCCAGGTTCTGCCTCTCAAAAACCAGATGAAGAATCCACAGAAGTTTTCCATTGTTCTGTACCTGGGGATGTCCCTTGTCATCGCCCTCTATATCTGCATGGGGACACTGGGCTACATGAAGTTCGGGTCGGACACCCAGGCCAGCATTACTCTCAACCTGCCTAATTGCTGGTATGTCCCTGTTGGCCTCAGGTGGGCATCAGAAGAAGCCTGGGATCCAAAGGTCACCGCAGAATGACAGGCCCTTGGGTTCTCATTAACCAGGGTTGAAAATGATAATATGAGGATTGATTAATTAGTGTTTACTAGTATAATAATAGGTCAGTTTGATGATCCAGGCAATATACAGTATCTTGTTTGATTTCTGGCTTCCTCCCTATGAGTTAGCATTATTGTCATTACTATCATTACAATTATTGCTGTCTATTGCATAGACCTGGAAATGGATATTCTGAGAGACAGTATGTAACCTTCCCAGCCATACTGTTCATGAGAAGCTAAATCTTGAATCCTTTATACTTTGACCTTAAAGCATAAAACCCCTGAAATACATGAGTTGAGAATGACAAGGAAACAAAACTGAACCACAAAAAAGTTAAAAGTAATGACCGGAAATGCACAGGTGGGCAGCCCTTTCTGCCCCAGTTCCAGAAATGAACCTTCACTCTGCGCCCCAGACGGAGCCCGGTCGGGCGCACATTCATTCATCCGTCCACACACCCAGGAAGTGCGCTGGGGGCTGGCACACAGTGGACGCACGTCACAGGGTAGCTGTACTGTGGGGGCAGCGCTGGGTGCACACTTAGTGGCCACAACAGCCACGCGCTAGGGAGCCTGGGCTCTGAAGGGGGCCGGCGGGCTGTGCTTCCTGGATCGTGTGAGGCCGTGGGCAGCCGCCTCTTCCCGCCTCCGTAAAGGAGGACCACGCCAGTGCTTGTTTGTCGCAGTCAGGATAGAATAAGTTATTTTCTAATGTCAGCTCATTTATTTATTTTACACTATGAAGTCATTTTTTGGCATTTATTCTTAATAACTTAAATACTCTTACTAAATAATGCACAAACTATTCTATACAAAAGTTCTAGATCCAAACTTCTGTAAGTCTTTAGGTATATGTTTAAAGATTCAATCAGAAGAATCCATTTTTATGTATAAAATTTTGATTTTTAAAATAAGTATACTTTGTCAAATAGTCAGTCAACACTTTTGCATTCCTTATCATTTATCTGTCTTTATAATATGTTTTACTAGTGCCTATCATTTTGGGGACAGGGCATTGTTATGCAGCCTGGGCTGGCCTTGAACTCACTAAGTAGCTCAGAGCGCGTTTCATTTGTATGAAATCCTGGCTTGTAGTGTGACACTGTCGTACACACAGGTCATGCGTCGATGGCTCCTCTCCGCCACCCCCACTCTCTGCATCCCCTCCCCTTGTTCCTTTCTTCTTGTCTAACAGCAGGACAAAGTTGTGCTAAACTCTGATAAGCTCCGTGGCTGTTCACACAGATGCTTGACTCTGCGTGAGTCACTGTCCATGACAGGGCGGCCGAGGCCACACTGGCGGAGCAGCCATTCTCCGAAGGGCTGCTGGTTGCCATGGCAGAGGACACAGTGGCCCCAGAGCTTTCCCCAGGGCAGGGGCTTGCTCTCAGTCACACTTCCACCTTCCGAAGACTCAAGGGGCCAGGGAAGGCTTTGGTGGGCAGCTCGAAGGACCGCCAGACACCTTGTAGTGATGCTGAGCATTCCATGACTTAACATTCCAAAGACCCGCAGAAACACGCAGTAAGCCCTTCACAGGTACAGGAGACATGATGGCAGGAATGAGAAAGATAGCTGAGAAGACAAAAACTGGGCTAGGTAGCCACTAGTCTGCCTGATGGGCAAGACTAACTCAACTCACAACAAACCCATCCTTTATAGTTTTGCAAAGTTTGCAACACAGCACACAACATTGCCTAGCGACTAACAGCTGGCCTGAACCAGGCAGGATGTTTTCCTCAGGACTGAGGTAGCTCCCTTGCTTTAGGCACTGAGGCCCAGTCCCACCTACACACATTTGATCAATTCCTAGCTTTCTGCAGCTCCCAACAGAGTTGTCCCAGTCCTGTGTCCCCACAGCCTTGCTCCTTCTGGGCTGAGTTAGGGGAATGACATTTCCAAAAAACAAGAGCTGCACAATAAGAAAAATGTCGCAGCCCACACCCCTCATGTGCTGTGGTAACGGCCGAGAGAGACGCTTGGTGGAACCCGTGGAAGCTGTGCTCCTTGTCTCACGAGCTAGGCACCACCCTGATGTTCCCAGGAAAGCTGGGCACCCAGGAGCAGCTCTCCTTTCTCCAACCTCAGCTAGAGAACAACTCGGGGTTTCCAATGGTCCTCGTGGAAAACGCCCAGAACTCAAAAATATCGGCGGGGAAAGCGAGCACGCAGCCCACAGGCACAGAAAAACGTCCACTTGGTATTTGAAAAGATGGTTTACAGAGTAATAGAAAAGCCCATTTTAAAAACCACAATGGCAGACACTACCATGCAGTCGCATGCTGTATTTTTCTTTTTAAAGAGGATCTTAGGGGCCGGGGAGATGGCTCAGTAGAATAAGCGCTTGCCTGGCAAGCGCAAGGGCCTGAGTTCAATCCCCGGTTCCACCAAAAAAAAAAGAAAAAAAAAGGAAAGAGGATCTTAAAAAGCAATTAAAATGATACATAATTTCTAAACAAGATGGTAGGAAACTCACAATGGTTATTATATTGCATGCTGCTATCTTCAAGGTAGATGCTTAGATTACCAGACACAGGCATGGAAGACTGGGAGGACTGGTCAGACGCTTCAAGCACTAACTGTTCCTTTCAACAAACTAATAGGAAACAGTGATCGTGCGTGTGTGTGTGTGTGTGTGTGCGTGCGTGCGTGTCCCTTCCTTCTGTCCCCCTTCCCCATCCCAGTTGCTCTTTCCTTGTCAGCAGTCTCCTTCCCTTTCACAGTGTCTATGTCCATTTTCGATCTTGTGTTCTCTTTCAGCTTCTCACACTAGGGAGACAGCACGACGCTTACACGTGCGCGTCTGATTATGTTCCCTTCGGTGCGGTCTCTGGTTGCATCTGTTCACCTACAAAAGCCTCGAGTTTATCTTTCTTTATAGCTGAGCCGTACTCCATTGTATAAAATACCACATCTCGCACAATTTTTGACATGGACTTTCACACACCTGGCTAGGACCGCAAGTGAGCAGTAGGTCACTAGCTATCAAAATTTAAAATCACGTGCTGTATCCTTACCTGGAAATTCCCTTTCTGGAGTTCTGTGCACAAACACGCAAAGTCTTCCTTGCTTCGCTGTCTCCTTGGCAAAGGCAGAACTACCTAGACACGGAGGAGCCGGGACTGCAAGCCGCGCTGCACCCACACGATAAGAGAGGCACGCGGGTGTTAAGCGGAAGGCGCGGGGCTGCGGGAGCCTCCAGAGGGCAGCACCTGGCCTGCGAGCGTGCGCGTGCCGTGCGCTCGCGTGCGCTTCCGTGTCCACACAGGTGGCTTCCAGAGGGCCACCAGGAAGCGGGGAGTGGCTCCTGGGGGAGGGAACCCGAGGAAAGCGCTCTTCCCTGCGCGACTGTGGCACTGTGGCGCTTGCTCTGTGCAGACCTGAGCTTTTAGAACACTGAAGCACAGACTCCTGAGCCACGTGGGTGCCTCGGGGCCTCCGGGGATGAGCACCCCACCTGCCTGAGCCGCGCCGCGGGCTCACAGGCGGAGTCCGGGCTGCGGCCAACCCTGGAGCTCCCGGGTGAGCGCCAGCTCCCGCGCGTGCGTGCGCGCGCGCGTGCGTGTGTGCGTGCGTGCGCGCGCGCGCGTGCGTGCGTGCGTGCGTGCGGCCTGACCGCCCTCCTAGGAGCCGGCGCGGTTCACGCCCCTGGGTGATCTGTCTGCAGGTTGTACCTGTCGGTCAAGGTGATGTACTCCGTCGGCATCTTCTTCACCTACGCCCTGCAGTTCCACGTTCCGGCCGAGATCATCGTCCCGCTTGCCGTCTCCCAGGTGTCAGAGAGCTGGGCGCTGCTGGTGGACCTGGCTGTCCGAACAGCCTTGGTGTGTCTGACCTGTGAGTAGGCCGCGGGCACAGCCCACACTGACAGCAGGGCGCACGCGGTCACCCTGGCACGCCAGGCGCTGTCCTAACATTACCTAGGACTCCTGCAGCCCGGCCACCTGGCCAGCCCGGGAGTCTTGATCTGAAGACACTGGGGAGCACGTGCGTGTCCAACTGCACCATGGCATGGAGCGGGGGACAGGAGCACAGGTTGCGTGACACCAACACACCACAGCATGGCACAGTCCCGTTGTGCTGAGCTGCTCCTAGCACAAATTACAGTAAAGTGTTCTTACCCTAAAGCTGTTTAATTGTTAAGAAACCCCAATGTAATCGTTTCTCAGCCTTTTGGCTGAGATCAAGTGTAGAAACCCCCAAAGCATCGATTTGCTGCATTTTCGAGGGTCATTTTGAGCGTGTCCTTTTGCCTGCTGTCCCTCCCTCTTGTCTCATCGTTGTTTGCCTGTTTGTTCCCATTGGGAGCCGCTGCAGGTCTTTAGGAAACGTTACAAACAGAGCTGGGAATTTTTTGTTTTTGTTTTTTTTTTTTTTTTTTTTTTTTTTTTTTTTTTTTTTTTTTTGGTTTTTTTTTGGAGCACATGTAGAAAGAAAAAAGGGCCAGGGAGATAACTCAGGAGAATAAGCACTGCCTGGCAAGTACAGGGTCCTGAGTTCAATCCCTGTTACCACAAAAGAAAAAAATAGAGCACATGTAGAGAAATCGGAAAAGGTTGCCCATGAGGAAGGCCCAAGAGAACTGGGAGTGATTTCCCTAGACAACCAAAGCTCAGGAGTTTCTGGATCTGCCTTGAACACGCGTGGGTCACTGTATGAGGGACAGAGCTGCAGTCTCAAAAGCTCCAGGAGTTAGCACCACAGTCCCCAGTCTCAGCCGAGAGTCAGGAGAAGCCTCGCGCCTCCACCGGGCTGAGGTATGGGGGCTCAAGCAGAGACAGCAACGCTGCCTGGCTGAGGTGCGAGAGCTCGGGTCGGCGCCAAGAGGCCCAGGAACCTGCACAGGTGTGTTCTGAAGTCAGCCCTTGTAGGACGAGCATAGGTTGAAGAGATGGACTGTGTAATTCAGGCCACTCGAGATCAGGAAAGTGGCTCGAGTAAGCTGACCCTCTAGGGACATGTTGGGTTTCTGTACTTACTGAGGGACCACTTCCTCCTCCTCCTCATCCATCCATCAGTTCTGGTGGCGTTCATCGGCTGCATGATCCGCAGTCGCCTGTGGAGCACCTCCCACAAGCCAGGCACCGGGATGAGGAGTGGACAATGGTGAGGACACAGCGCCTGCCCCCCACCCCTGCCAGCTTGCAGCCTGTGAGCAGATATGCAGAGACAGAAGGGGGCATTCTGTGGGGAACGCCATGATGCACGTGGCTGTGCCGTGCCTTGGCTGAGGTTGCACGGGGAGGACGCCCCCTGCACTGGAGGGGCCTGTCACTTGCCCACGCTGGCGCAAGGGTCCTTTTTGTGGCAGGGTTACCTCAGTTAAGACCTATAAGTCAGGTAGGCTGCAGATACAGAGTAAAGAAGGCACTGCTGCAGGGAGCAGGCAGAAGCAGCAGGGACGGTGAGAGGGGAGCTCAGAGCATGGCAGGGCCCGAGTCCTGCGCTCCGGGCCCCCTCCGTCATACCAGGACTTGGGCTCTGTGCAGTGGCTGCCACAACCAGCATGGCGCCACAGTGGCTCCCCTGCCGTCCGGCGTGCCCGGCAGCTCTCAGACCATGTGTGTCGTTGCATGGGCTCCATGGGGGCCGGCTTGGCTCTGACCCTCCTGTGGGCAGCACTGATTGAACATCTGACACAGGGAAGCAGCGAGAAGGGTTCCTGCCCAGCACAGGCATGATGGAGCCCATGTGAGACCCTTGAGTGACAGCCACTTCGGACACAGGGGCTGCAGAGGTAGCTCACTGGCAGAGCTCTTGCCCAAAACGTGATGCCCTGAGTTTGATCCCCAGCAACACAAAAGAAGAAAAATCCAGCAACCATGCAACTAGCACACGTCTATAGAACAATGCTCCATAGAAAAACCATACAGTTATATAAAAGTGAGTTTTTAGACTCCTTTGGAAGCATCCATGGTATATATTCATTGTATGTAGAAGAGATGGAGACGTAAGAGTGCTCACAGGAGGACAGAGATGGAGGACGACGGCCCGAAGCCATAGTGGAGCTGCATGTCCTGCTCAGTCACCACACCTTTCCCAAGTAGGAGAGGCTGAGACTGGGATGACAACAGAGAACTCTCTCTCTCTCTGTCTCTGTCTCTGTCTCTGTCTCTGTCTCTGTCTCTCTCTCTCTCTCTCCCATCTCTGTCTCACTCCCTGTCTCTCTGTATCTCTCTCTGACTCTTTGTGTCTCTGTCATCTCTCTCTGTCTCTGTCTCTCTCTCCATCCTTACTTCTACACAGAGGCTATCTTAGTAGGCAGCACGCAGTTTGATTCTAGGTTTACAAGTTGGGCATCTGTGTATCCAGTCGAGTAGAGCAGCCCTTAGATGTGACATCTACAAATTTCATTGTAATAGTGAATGTTTTTGTTTTTGTTTTGTTTTGCAATACTGGGGATTGAAGTCAACTTTTGCACTAAGTCCCATTTTTATTTTGAGATAGGGTTTCAAAATTAATAAGCTGCCCAGGCTGGGTTCGAACTTGGGAACCTCCCAGAGTGCTGGGATTAAAGGTGCGTGGCACAATGCCTAGCTGATATGAAAACTTAAATTTTTTCAAGTGTATGAAGTAAAAGACATGTTGCCACTAATTCCCCTCCAGCGGCTGCCCTTTGCTTCCCACATACCTAGCCCGTGTCCCTGCCCTTCCTGAAGCAGCTGGAAGTCCTTGCCGGGAGTACAAGGCATGAAGAAAACAGCGAATGCCACCACCCAGGGCCGTCTGGTGGAAAGCAGCGGTAGAAGCCTCGCGCTGTGCCCTCCCTCGCCCACCTCCCTCAGGGGCTGGCGCAGGCTGACTCCTGGCTCTTCTCCAGTGGAAATGACCCCGGAAGATAAATCTTTTGAACTGATTAAGGACAACGAGGCATGAGGACTTCCAGGGCAGCATCAGAAAGTGGCTAGAAGGGTGGGATGTGAGCTCCAGTTCTCACGGGGAGACCGAGAGGGGTGAGCGGCAGTATATCTTTTACTGTAAAAAAATATATATAAGTCCTAAATATGCACAGCATTTTTAGCACGCCTCACAGATGGATTCTCCTCTCTGCGCCCTGGAAGAGCACAGATTCCCCTGGAGCTCTAAGTGCCCCATCTCTACCAGGAGGAGGTGGCGATGGTAACTGCTGGGTGAGGGTCCTGCAGGTGACACGCGGGGAGCTGCTGTGCCGCGGGTGCCGCAGCAAGAGTGGGAACCCGAGTCCTGGGCCTGGCAGCTGGCCGCACAGGCCTCTCCCGAGCAGCTTCTTGGGCTGCAGAGTGAGGCGTATTCTCTAGATCCCTCCTCACAGCCCTGCCCACTGAGCCCATGCTTTCCCCCGCACGCAGGCGTCTCCGCCATCCTTGTCCCGCGCCTGGACCTGGTCATCTCCCTGGTGGGCTCCGTGAGCAGCAGCGCCCTGGCCCTTGTCATCCCGCCGCTCCTGGAGATCGTCACCTTCTACCCCGAGGACATGAGCTATGTGACCGTGGCAAAGGACATCGTGATCAGCACACTCGGCCTCCTGGGCTGCATCCTGGGGACATACCAAGCCATCTATGAGTGGGCCCAACCCATCAGCCACGCTGTGGCCAACTCCACAGGTGTTTATGTGTGATCATCAATTTTCATTCTAGTAGCTGCCCTCCCACCACGTTTATTTTGATGTGGATATTATATACATTTCATCAAGCCCCAGCATCTCTGTGTTGATTAGCAGTCTGTCTTTCCAAGATAAACAAAGGTAACACAGGTAGTACCGAGACCCCTCAGGCTTTTGGTAGGTCTTTTGTACCTCTGAATCACATTCAACAATTTATACCAT